AAAACACTATCAAACTATTTCCTATGACTTAAGAGGGGGGAAAAACAGCAAAAATGATAGCCATGAATAATTAAAAGACTTTAAAGCTGAACCCCATACAGTCTGGGAATGTCTGCATGTTTGTGTGTGTTTCCTCACCTGATGTTGGGGTCATGGGAGCCCCTGGGAGGCCGTTGATGGTGGCCATGTGTTGCATCTGTGCGGCAGCAAAAGCCGCCATAGGGCTGAGATATCCTCCCTGACCCACTGATGCCATCAGCGCTGCCTGCTGCTGAACCTGACAGCCAAAAGCACACACACACACACACCACTTCAAATATATACATATAATACCATGCCAAGATAACATAATCACAATGCATGGAGCACTGTGTATAATCAAGACTTTAGAGTCGACAGATTTTTCCACTGAGACGCTGCAGTTTTGTTGGGAATAGTGTGTAACGAGAGAGAGAGCCCTTGCCTGTGCATAGGCACCGTACGCTCCAAACTGCAGGGCCATCGGATTGAAGATGCCCATCTGACCGGCCATCTGCTGCATGCGTCGAATGGTCCGTTCCTTATCTGTGTCTGCAAACTTCACCACCAGGCTGGAAGAAGCGCCCTGAAACACACACACACACACACACACACACACACATACACACACAAAATGAGGATCCTTTGTGCTAATGATACAAAAGTGCATGATCACATGTGCTGGCACTCACAGGCATGGTTTGGCTGCCGTGTAAAGCACTAATAGCGGCCTGAGCTTCTGCATGAGTGGAATACTTCACAAACGCACAACCTGAAGAGAGAAAAAAACTGTCAAAAACACCCTCTTTGACATTTACAGACATTTCTAGGCCTCCATATCTTATTTTTTAGAGTTTCAGCAAAATGAAAGAAAGAAAATGCTGAGAGAAAACAGGCAAGATGACCCTCTAACTGGCTCCTGGGACAAGAAGCCATGTTCTTTGAACTCCACAAATGATTTTTTATAATATATATTATATTATGTATAATAAACAATTTCCTTACTATAATAAGAAACATTTCCACATTTCTGAAGGGGCATATTATCCCATTTGACTAAATAAATAAAATTCATGTAAGAGTGCACCTTTAGAAACATAAATATAATATAATATAATGAATATTAACATACAGACTTAAAAAATAAACTTCAATAATTTTAGAAAATCAGACTGAAACCAATAACCTTTGCTGTTTCCGTCAGGACCTCGGAGGATGGTGCACTCCTCAATGCTCCCGAAGGACTCAAAAAGGCGCCGCACGTCGTCCTCACATTGCTGCTTATTCAGCATGCCAACGAAGAGTTTTCTGTCTTCTGAAACAAACACCGAGAAGTTGTTACAGACTACACAGGACAACAACAACATCTGTCTGCTGTCTTGTGTTACTGCTCATTTCAATACATCCACACCGCCTCTTTTTTTCTCTGTTTACTATATTTTATATGCTGTTTGCATTTTCCTCACTATTTTCAAAAATTGAGTGTTTTATAATTAAAGACGACTGAATCCCATAATAATACTCAAACAAGCATGCGGTCGGTGAGTACTGTAAAATGCAAACAAAATGCAATTAAAAGTCACCATTACTACAGTGCAACAGCGCAAACAAACTTTCAAAAACACATTCACTCAATCAATCCCACAATGCATGCTTTTTATCCACCTAATATGCAATTATCTGTGTCTAAATCCAGAAAAGCACTAAAAGCCTGCCGGTGCTACTGTATAATGAAATGAGTTAATGAGCGAGATATCTGTGGAGAACCTTTCGCCTAGTCGATTCTGCCACCACAGGAGTCCTTGTTTATTGTTTGTGCCTTTATTTATCAGATTATGTAGACATTATTGAATTACACATCAGCGTTAGGGGAACAAAAGCGGTATTGTTTCAGGGTTTTATTAGGCTGTAATTGCAGTGTCAATGCGGCATGTTTTAAACTCAAGACAAGGCACAGAGTTAAAAAACAAGGCACATATTTATTGGGCACCGAGGGAATTGGACTGGATATGACAGTGTGTAAACATGCACACACACATTTATCTTACCATCTAAATGGTGACATACCCTAGACATCTATTGTTTTTTAATAAAGACTATAAATATAATAATGTAATTATAATTATTACAAGACTTTGTTATAGGAAAACGCGCTTTAAGCAACTGAACATTCTGTTTGATAATGCCGGTCAGTTTGCGCAGGTAAACTTGTGTATGTGTGATGTACAATGTGTGTGTGTATGATGGATGATGCAGCAGAGATATTAATGATGCATTAATGCACTATTGTGTATGAGTATGTGTGTTCATGTGTTTGTCCAGACCTGCCGCTCACTAACATGCTCTGACAGGGTGTCCTTGCCCAGTCAACAAGACTAATCTCTAGTCCGGCCTCTCTCTGTGGGGAATGTTTACAAGTGCGCTGCACATATGCGGGATAAGACACGCACACACGACACAGGTAACAGTAATGCCACCGAAGATAGCTCAAATTCAAACAGCATGTCTGAGGCAGTCAATGTAAAGACATTGGACCTCATTTATAAAGCGTGCATATGCTCAGATTTGATCTTAGAGTGTGCGTACGCTTAAATCCACACCAACGCTCATGTTTGTAAAAACTGCCTTTGACGTGGAAAAGTGCTTAGCATCACGTCAGATGCCAGACGTAGGTCTGAGCAGACGTACATACTTTTTCTTGTCAGAGTGCTGCAGGTTTTTGAAAATGTAAGCTGTTCTTGCAGCTCACTGCTCTAAATTAAAGGATTTAAACGATGACTGGTGATCTTTTATATGTTAATGACATTAATTAGGAGTCGTTTACAAGGCAGAGAGCTGAAACCATTCAGTTGCACGCAAGTTCAAGATCATTTTCGATTCATAGATTTCACATCCGAAAGAGACGTTCATTCTATTAATCACACGTACGCATATTTGAGAGATGATCGTTCGATTAAATTTAGGATGGTTTCTGTGCAACATTTTATAAATGAGGCCCATGAACTACAAGCTGAATTTGATTTAAAGGCAGAGTAAGTGATTTCTGGTAGCCAATGTTGATATTTGAAATCACCAAAACAAACATCAAAAGTATGATTAAACAAACAAACAAATTACTTTTTACAAATAGAAATGTCAAAATGAGATGGAGTGAAAATTGTTTACAAATGTCAAATTTAATAAATTAAAATTATACTTTAAAAATAATTTACATTTTTAAAAATAGAAATGTCAAATGAGAGGAAGTGAATGTGAAGACAAATGATCTACAAGCTGTATTTGATTTAAGGTAAATTTGCGTAATCAAAGATAAAATAAATAAATAATACATTTTATTTTATAAAATAAAATTGTACACAGTTTTGGATAAATTAAAATACAACAATAATAAACAAAAATAGATTTTTAATAAGGAATGTCAAATGAGAGGGAGTGAATATGAAGATATGAACTACAAGCTGAATTTGATTTAAAGTAAATAATTAAAAAAAAAATCATTTAAATAAAACAAATTGAGTCCTTCTTCCCTTTGGGCTATAAATAAATCCAGCAGTCTGATTCACAAAACTTGCCAATAATTTATATGTAAATCATTTTAAACCTTGAAAATGACATGACATTGTTCCAGGAACAGCATTCCAATCAACCAGCTGCTGTCCACTGATTTAAGGGCTTGAGGATTTTTTTCAGGGTTTGGTTAAGGCCTCTGATTGGTTGACAGGATTGTTGTTCCAGGAACAGCAAGGGTCGCTGATCTATAAACATGTCCTACATGTAGATCCCATTGTGCACATTTCCTGATAAAAGTGTGACAGAAAAAGCTATTTTGTTTAGAACAACAAGTCTTTCATTTAGTTGTCTGTAACCGTGTTTCCTCTCATTCTCTCTGATATCCATCCTTATTTGTCTCTTATGACCAGCCCCCACCTCCTTGTCTTCTCTCTAACTCTCCTTCAAGTCTTCTTCTGTCTTTGCGTCTCTCACTTCCTTTCCTTGTCTTTCCCACTTTGACCTTTAGATCTCTCTCTCCATCCTGGCGTTTCACTTTAAATGACTAGTGAATGGATCGGTCGGGGACGGCACATCGGTTTTGCCAGTGGAATCAGAGGGCTTTGCAGGGACATATATTGCGTTTTTACAGGGCTAACAGGGGGATAAATTCAGCTGTCCATCACGACGAAGACAACTGATCTGTCAAGTGTGAGTAAAGGAAGACGCTCTCAATTAGAGAAAGGAACGTATGGCATGAAATGAAGGTAGAGACTGTGAAGGAGAGAGAGAGACTCTTCTATGTGTATGTCTCGCTCTCTCTGTGTGTCCATCAATCTTGGTTATCTGGAAAATCTGACCCAAAAAGGTGGGAAAGACGAGCTATATCTCACCAAACTGCTTCCACTTTGTCTGTTAGTGACACACAGACACACACATGCAAAGTCAATCTCACTCCCATGAACACACACACACACACACACAGACAGACAGACAGACAGACAGACAGACACACACACACTTACAAATAAGTATATTAGGCTAATATGACATCATTTTTATGTTCTTATGATGTCACAGAAGAAAAAAATTTGTTGTTTTTTATCTCATAAGAGAACTTCCTAAGATGCCACAAGATAATATTTTTGTTCTTATAAAGACATAAGGAAACTTTAAAAGTTTTTATGATGTAATAAGGGAACCCTTTAAAGTTATGATGTCATAGAAGGACATTTTTAAGGTCTTAAGAAGTCATTGGAGAACCTTTTGATGTTTCTTTATATGTTATCCAAAACCAGCATCTATATTCTGGGTCTTCAAAGCATCTGGCTTCATTTTTTCAGTGCTTTTTAATGCTACCTAGAACCAATAAGCAGATATGAAGAAATGAATGAATAAACAAATAAATAAATAGACAGATCTATTCTATTAATAAAGCGTTCTATTCAAAATATTATTTCATATGATGATTTTTACATCCTCATAGTCACCGAAATTCTTAAAAAAAAAAAAAAAAGATAATTATGGAAGCTTGTTTCAGCCATAGGATAAAAAAATAAAATAAAAATGGTAATTGCGATTTTTTAATCTCACAATTCAGACTTTTTTCTTTGCAAAAAGTTACAATTTGTTTATACAATTCTGAGAAAAATTAAGAATTATGAGACATAAATCAGAATTGTGGGATATAAACTTTTGTGAGAGAAAAAGTAAGAACAGGGAGATACATTTTTTATTATAATTAAAATGTGTATTTTTTATTGTAGTGGTGGAAACAAAAAACATAATTGCGAAATGTAAACTGAGATTAAAAAAAAAAAAATCGCTATTACAATTTTTATTTTTTAGCGTAGTGGTGGAGACAAAAAAAATAAAAATAAAAAGTCAGAATTGAGATAAAAAACTTACAATTATGTTTTTAATAGTTTATCCCAATGGTGGAAATAAGCTTTGATAGATAATCAAAATATGCAAACAACAAAATTAAAAACAGTTTTCTTTAAATTGAAATTTCATTTTAACAACGATAATTCTTCTGTCCATAAATTTGTGTTTCCCTGTCACACCACCATTTGCCTCAAAATAATTAATTTTAAATGACAATGAAAAGTGACATTTGAATTTAAGAAGCCATAAATAAAATACTAACACTAAACATAATAAATTACATATTTGTTTTCCTATTTACACTTTTAAGAATCCTTAAATTTACTATAAAACTACTATACTATACTCTTTCCTACAGCATCCATACAAAAACTCACAAAAGTGTGTGTGTGTGTCCGCGCGCATCACAACTAAAACTTAAAAAAAAGTCCCATCAGTGGAGGGTAATAATCAGACAAAAAGAGTGACCCACACTTATGTAAGGCTGTGAGGGCCGGCCCAAGATCCTCTGGGGCACTGTATGACTGTCGGGTCTCATCGAAGTGCGTCATTATCTATCTACCGGTAATGGTGACACTGATTTAGAGCGACAGGAAGATGGGGGGAGAAATAGGAAAAGAAGAAGAACAAAAGAGAAGTGGAAATCTACCTCCCCTGCTCTCACTGTCAGCTGGCTTCACCTGGATTGGCCTGTTCATCTGTGCAACAGAGAGAGAAGAACGAGGGAGGGGAAAAGACAGGACAGACAGAAAGAAGAGGGGAAAAGACAAGAGAAGACATTAGATTTGTAGCTGAGCACAAAAACTATTCAAGTGAAGTGTTCACATTTAGTTTGTATCAATACGGTGGTATATGAGCCATTCCAGTACTATTTGTGCCCATAATGTTTGATGAAATGCCAACAAAAATCTTGAATATGTTAATTCAAAATTATGAAATTATTCTTTGCAAAGTATTATTTCATGTCATACAGTTATTGAAATTTAAAAAAAAATTTAAAAATAAAGATTGTTTACTGTACGTAATTCAAAATGAATTCAACTTATTCTATTAAAAATATTATTTCCTTAATTCTTAAAAAAATTATAATAAAAAGAATAAGCTTAAATATGTTTATTCAAAAATAATCATAATGATTTTTTTTACATGCCCATTCATCAAAATCTTTTATTAATTAAATTATTCAAATGTAATGATAAACTTATTCTATTAAAAATATTATTTTATGTGTTGATTGTTGCATGCTAAGTCATCATATTCTTGTAAAAATAAAAAAAGCTTAAATATGTTTCATTTGATAATTTTACATACCCATAGTCAAAATGTAAAAAAAGAAAAAAAAGGAAACTAGAAATACTAAGAAATATACATTGCCTGGAAAACCAAAATAATCAAATTTATATTAAAAATAGTTTTCTAATAATTAATGATTCATATCTTGAAATTAGATTAATATTTAAATTGATTTCAGCAAGAATACTTCTCTCTATGAATTTTGATTTTCCCCGTCACACCATCATTTGCCTTGAAAAAAATTCATTTTAAATGACATAATGAAGAGGAAGTGACATCATGTGAGTTTTGAGGAGCCAAGTTCAAAGTTGGAAACTTCTCATCTTATTTAATATTCATAAATTGTTGTTCTGTCATGCTTGACACAATTTCTCAAGCATAACATATCCACCCTGGCACATGAAATAGTCAAACAGAATTGCTTTTTCCCCCTTTCTATTTATAGAAAAATCATTTGAATACCTAAATAAATAGAAAGTCATAACCTTATACCATCACCATAACAGGTGAGCTGCAGCAATTGTGGTGTGAAATGTTCCACCCCAACACAGAATATATCACCATATTATTAACTTGAGATTATTAACACTTAAAAATATTTTTGTCTCATCGGATAATGCAGAAGAAAAAAAGGAAAAGGCAAATGTTTCTTAGAATGAATAATTTACAGTTGTACAACACACCAGAGTAAACGTCAGACACATAAAGCGTTATTAAAAGAAATGCAAGTCAAAGCATGCAACACATTTGCATACATCTCTGTGTGTATGAATACATCTCTGTGTGTATGAATACATCTCTGTGTGTATGAATGGCACTTGTGTGTGAGGTCTCACTAAAAGACGCTCACCATCATAAAGTGTTTCGTTCTGCTTCCTTCACTCGTGGCACATTCCCGACTGACTCCGGCTCAATAATACATGTAAGCCACGGAACGGTCTGCGGCAATCAATTTTTAATAATGCCAATTGTCACGCTGCCAGCAGAAAGGAGACGAGAGGAGGGGAACGAACCAGTGCGCAGTGGCCTTACAGACAGTCGCTCAGGGCACTGCCCCCGAAAATAAGACACAGACTCCACTCTGGGGAAGTCGTGGCCTAATGGTTAGAGAGTCGGACTCGTAAGGTTGCGGGTTCGAGTCTCATACCGGCAGGGATTGTAGGTGTGGGGAGTGAATGTACAGCGCTCTCTCCCACCTTCAATACCACGACTGAGGTGCCCTTGAGCAAGGCACCGAACCCCCAACTGCTCCCCAGTCGCCGCAGCAAAATAATGGCTGCCCCACTGCTCCGGGTGTGTGTTCACGGTGTGTGTGTGTTCACTGCTGTGTGTGTGCACTTTGGATGGGTTAAATGCAGAGCACTAATTCCAAGTATGGGTCACCATACTTGGCCACATGTCACGTCACTTTAAAAAAAAAATGTCACGTCACTTCTCTATCGCTCATCCACAGCATCCTGGAAATGAGTTGTGACGTAGCAGGTATGTTTTTATGAGCAGCTTCTACACTCCCTCTCACTGTCTGCATCGTACAAACAGAAAAAGTCCTTGAGGAGAAAGTCTCTTCGTCTGCTAAAAGCCAAAAACAGGGGAAGCATAATAGCAGCGTACGGTAGCCTACAGTACAAGTCAAATTTATCAAATCCAATCAAGTCAAATGTTCCTTGGCTCCAGATATATATCCATTTATATGACAATGCAATTTGTTTGGTTTAATAAAAAAGGTACATTTCTGCCTAGCCATGTGACCACAGATAATTATTTTATTTGTAGTTTAAGTACATAATGTCTTTGCAACATTGAATTACTTTTTAGTTAAGAAATCCTAATTTTATTTTCAAATAAGGAATGCAGTTTTTCATCTTTGATGAGAGTCACGAAAATACTACGCAATACGTTTTCATTATTCAACAGAAAGTGACATAAAAATGCAGTTAATGTTCTTCACAGCAGTTTTCAATAAAATCTTACAATACAGTAAATCCTTTATTGTATTTTCCACTCATTTTTTATTCAATTTGGACAAAATTTAGCATCTGCTAAGTTAATAAATATGTTACTCTACATGATTAAATGCCAACATTCGGTAACAATAAGCAGAAAAATAACTCTTAAAATATTAAACAACTGGTTACAGTAATACAATGGCAATAATAAACTGCTACAGATGTTTTAATGTTTAATGCTTCATAAAAGAATGTTTTATTGAAAACTTGCACAATTGTTCAAAAGTTTGGGGTCAGTAAGATTTTATTAATGTTTTAGAAGAAGCATTTTATGCTAACCAAGTCTGAATTTGTTTGATCAAAAATACAACAAAAACAGTAAATATGATTACCATTTAAAAGAACAGTTTTCTATTTGAATATATTTTAGAATGTAATTTATTCCTGTGATGCAAAGTTGAATTTTATTTGTATCATTAGTCCAGTCTTCAGGGTCACATGATTCTTCAGATATCATTCTAATTGCTACTTAAGAAACATTTCTTATCATTAATGTTGAAAAGAGTTATGCTGCTATATTTTTGTGGAAAAAAGTTATGCCTTTTTTCAGGATTCTTTGATGAATAGAAAGTTCAGAAGAACAGCATTTATTAGAAATAGAAATCTTTTGTAACATTATAAATGTCTTTACTGTCACTTCTAATCAATTTAATGTGGCCTTGCTGAATAAAGTATTTTCTTTAAATGACTTCGTTATAACAAACCTCTGAACGAGAGTATAAAAGTTTGCGAGTGCTCTTCTAATTAAATACCCTGCAATGCCAGTAAACCACTAACTATGTTTATTAAAGTCATCTTCCAACTGCATATTTTACTGGACTCACAGTGACTCATTTACGACAGAAAAATACCCACAGTGCACCTGGTCAGCACACCTGTGGCATCCTGGCTCCGGTCCAGACCAACAGCTCTGGGGTTTCTCACTTCATAAAGTTCACTTCTATTTCAGACCTGATCACTCACTCCTTATTTTTCTCCATCCCCCGCATCCTCCTCTTTTATTGGCAGTAAAGCCCAGCTAAAGTTTTTAATGTGTTTTGATGCATTATTTATTTTTACCATGGCTGCTGATAGTGAGGGCGGAGGGAATAGTGAAAAGAGAGAGAGAGCGATGGAGAAAGAGAGGTAGATCTGGACATAGATCGGGGAGCAGAGCAAGGTCACACACACACACACACACACACACACACACACACAGAGCCTCTGTATCCCAGCAGGCCTCTACTCACATACATTTTAATGTTTCCCTCCCAATGGCACAAATGGACTCTGCTATGTGTGCTAATAATGTTCCCCCAACCAGAATCTCACCCATGAGAGAGACACACTCGTACAAGAGCATTTCTCACACACTCACGGCCGTTATGCATCCTGACAGAGGGACATGCATGAAATGCACTCACATTCCCAGGGTGAATCTGACAGGTACATGTGGAATGATATCTAGTGCACAGTCACACAAATGTGAGTAGGTGTCTTGTGAGTTTAAATGACAAATTAGTTATGAATTTATTCTATTAAAAATATAATTTTCTGTTAAATTTTACATGCCATTGCGGTCATCAAAATTCTCTGAAAATGCAAGAATTAGTAAAAAATAAGCTTAAATATATTCATTCGAAATGAATCAAACTTGTTTTTTTTTAAATTATTATTTTGTGTGATTAATTTTATCGTCAGTGAAAATATTTTTATAAATTAAAAAGCTTAGAAATGTTAATTTAAAATTAATCAAGCTGTTTCTATTAAAATATAAATTTTTTATTAAACATTATTAAAAATATCATTCATGTGATGATTTTTAAATACGCATAAAGTCATTGAAATTCTTGTATACACTAAAAAAGCTTAAATATTATTCAGATTTATTTTATTAAATATTATTAAAATATTATTAATGTGATGAGTTTAAATACCCCTAGTCATTAAAATTATTTTATAAATGAAAAAATAAAACTCAAATATTTTAATTCAAAATGAATCATAAACCTATTCTATTAAATAGTTTATATTTGTATTAAATTATTAAAATTATTGTTATTTTTATATACCCATACAGTCACTGAAATACTTGTATACATAAAAAAGCTTAAATATGTTAATTCAAATTAATCATAAACTTACTATATTAAAATATTGCTTCGGTTTTTTCTATTAAATATTATTAAAATATTATTAATGTGTAATTTTAAAATACCTAATCATTGAAATTCTTTCAAAAATGTAAAAAAAAAAAAAACCACTGACAAACATACACTGCCATGATAATCAAAATAAAAAATAGTTCTCTAAAACTATTTAGATATTAATATTTAGAGAGTGTTTCTCTCACACATAGCTTTTATGCATCCCGACAGGAGGACATGCATGAAACGCGCTCACATTCCCAGGGTGCATCT